TGTGTGGTGCTCAGTTGCTGACTGAGGTTAAACCACAACAATGTGGTTCCCAAATTTTGTCTGGCAGAATCCAACTTCAATCAGATATGCAACTCTAAACACTAAACAACAGAATTTCTGTTCAGGTTTAAAGCCCATTCAAAGGCACAAAAATCTGTACTTTTGAACCCTGAGGAAGGTGTCTTTAATTGCACTGCACATTTAAAGCAATGATTACCTGCTCTCCATCAGTGCCGTCAAATCCACTCTCACCATGTTCACCCTGTAGCAATAAGCAAAAAAACCCTATTAGCATCAGTCCATTTGCCTCTGAGCAAAGGAAGAAGTGTTCACCCTACTTCTGGAAACCTGAATAAGAATAGTGGTTTTCAATGGCTAGCAAGAATAATTAAGAATAATAATTATAAATAGGAATTAATAATTCAGATTTTTAATGAATTATTAAGTTTTAAAACAATTCATAGTTAAGAACACTTAATAAGAACAATGGTTATTAAAACTATAGATCTTCATCAGGATTTAAATTCTGCTTTTCCATCTGTTAGTTTTCAAATCTTTTTCCCAACTGCAGCACCTTCAAAATCTAGATATATTCCAAAATATAACAACTATTATCTGATCTAACATGCTGATAATCTTGTAATTCTGGTGTCAACCATCACATGTGTTTGTTTTGTGGTTTGGGGATTTTTTAATACTTTTATACTGTGAATGGTGTATTGAAAATCTAGAAAGAATAGCCATGATAAAAACAGTTGCAGAAGACTGATCTTGGGCTTTAGGACATGTTAAAGAAACTTCATTACTGTTTCAGCAATGTGATGCTTGCAGTCACATTCCCATTCAAACACACACTGCTCTTCTCTTCCCTTTGTATGCAAAAACGAGTCACCATATTGCTACCATTTATGGAAGCCATTTTCTCACAAAACACCCATCCCAACCTTAGGGAGTTTGCGATGTTAACCTCTTGTTCAGATGAAGAGTGAGGCTTCTGAATAGAGTTATAACTGTGAGAACCTTATTCATTTATGTATGCTCCACAATGTTTCAGACCTGGCCAAATAGCACACTCAATTTTTAAAGGCTATTTTGAAGTGCTTCTTCCGTCTTTCTTTACTAGGATTAAAGTGAAGGTATTAACTGTGAGTTTTTATTTGTAGTAAGAAATTAACTTAGCAGAGACCACTACCCTGAAAGCTGAAAGGATATTCAACAAATCACTGAAAGTGGCACAAGAGCATGTTGTAAATGCTACTTAAACCAACAGGAGTCTGACTCTGATAGAGACTGCAGATACAATTGCTTTGTAGGTTTTGATGCTAAACTGACTTTGCAAAACCACCTAGTTAAAGTTCCTGAGGAAAATTTTCATTCATTTATAACAGTTTTGCATGTACTACAAGAAAACTTAGCTGGCTGTACATTTCGTTAAGATTAATATGTCACAAACAAGAATTTCTTGAATAAGTATTCCAGAAAAATTTTGAGCACTAAGTAAGCAATCATGACTTTTATTCAAGTCTTAATTTTTCCCTCATTTGTTTCCTACCTCAGAAAACCTGAGCCAAACTTCGTAGTATTAAATATTCAATATTGCCTTTTTTTCTCCAAATAGCTATACTAAAATGCCTTGCAGACTTGAATAAACTGCCTCAACCTTACTAAGTTAGCAGTATTGAATTACATTTTTTATGTGCTGAAAGTTTCGTATTTTTAGTTAAAATAAAATTGGTGGATATAATGACACAACATAATGAAGACATTCACATAGTCATTGGATTTCAGTAGAATTTGTGCTCCTGATAAGTCCTACTGTACAATTCAACTTGGAGAAATCAAAATCTTCAGCAAGCACTCTCCCTCTTCTATAGTAAGATGCTTCAGACATTTAAAGGAGGACAAATTACTTCAGGGAACAGAGCAGAAAATGGAAAAGGGAAGAAAAACACATGGGAGGATTAAAAAAAGTCAGTAGAGAGCAGTACTTTAAATAGAGCTGAGGTATCAGAAAAACTCTCTGAACTTTCTCACATGTACAGCTGCTCGGGTTTGGAAACAAGTATCTTCTGAGACTTTCAGACTCTGAAATCTTTTCTAGGAGTGGTTTTGTATCAAAGCACTCAATACAATTTGAATTCCATTTTAATTGCTCTAGCTTGGAAACTAATATTGCCATTATAGATCATTGTCTTCCAGGCTTCACATTTTATTAACTAATTGGTGACAACATCCTTTTGATGAACAAGTATGATTGAAAGGTTAAATAAGCAGAATTGCAAGATCAGTGGATGACAAAAACAGCGGAAGAGAAGTTTGGATATTGAAAAAGTGTCAGTAATGATTCAGTGAAAATGCTGTCCAAATGCACAATAAATATTAGTCACAATCTTTTTTCACCCCTTTCTGCTCTGCTTCCTCAACAATTAGAATATGAGATTCAGCTGACCAGAATTACCACCTTGACAAATTATTAAAATAGCCAGTAAATAAATTCTTTTCCTGTCAATTAGACTAAATCAACCAACTATGACAGCAACCATGCTAAAAATACAAGTAAGACTGCTGGTTTTTAATAATGTCATACCTAACAGCTCACACTTAAATCCATTCTTATACAACCATAGCAAAAGTACATTAAATACTCTGAAGTTTTTACACTGTTTTCCTTTCTTGTCGATATTTTCATCTTACAAGGTAACAAACCTGAAAGGAAGCAGAACACTGTTCTCGAAGAAAATTGATCAGTGCACTGGTTTTGGCTGAGGTAGAGTGAATTTTCTTCATAGTAGCTTCTATGGGACTATGTTTATTTGTCCTGCTGAAAACAGTGTTGATAAGACAGGGGTGTTTTCGTTATTGCTGAGCCGTGCTTACACAGAGTCAAGACCTCTTCTGCTTCTCACACCACCCCACCGGTGAGTAGGCTGGGGGTGCACAAGAAGCTGGGAGGGGACACAGCCGGGACAGCTGACCCCAGCTGACCAAAGGGATATTCCACACCATATGATGTCATGCTCAGCATATAAAGCTGGGGGAAGAAGAAGGAAGGGGGGACGTTTCGAGTGATGGTGTTTTGTCTTCCCAAGTAACCATTAGGCATGATGAAGTCCTGCTTTCCTAGAGATGGCTGAACACCTGCCTGCCGATGGGAAGTAGTGAATGAATTCCTTGTTGTGCTTTGCTTGTGTGTGTGGCTTTTGCTTTCCCTATTAAACTGTTTTTATCTCAACCCACGAGTTTTCTCACTTTTACTCTTCCAATTCTCTCCCCCATCACACTGGGGGGGCGGGGAGCAAGCGGCTGTGTGGTGCTTAGTTGCCAGCTGGGGTTAAACCACTATGATCACACATGAAAACACATACCTGACTTCCTCTATAGCCTCTGGCCCCCTGAAATTGAAAATAAACATAGATGAAACTTGGTGAAAGTATTTTTATCAAGCTTGAGAAGCAGGGCACAATAGCTTGCGGTGCAGAGGCATGCTGGGCTCAGTATTCATAGTCCCTACTGTAAAACCCCCTACTGCCACATAGGGAATTGACCCCTTTCCTGTGGGAAGACAGTACAGCCTTCATTTTCATTCCCATTCTTTATAGTTTTACCTAAGGCCAGTCTAGAGTTGGTGGTGGAAAAGTCACTGGCAAGTTGCTGAGTCAGCAAACTCCTTAGCTATTTGACCATGCTTCGGTTACACAAAATACCTCTCAAAAGAAGACAGCAAAAATTGTCTGCTATTCTTACAGCTGGGTCTTACTGTCCATCCAAGCTTCAAGAAGACAGTACAGGGATTTGTCCTTGGTATAGAAAACAGGTTTGTGGGAAACAAAGTTAGGAAACACTTCAAAGTGACATACTTGCCTTATAGCCTCTGACACCTGGACATCCCCTGTCTCCTTGAGTCCCATTGAAACCAACTGGGCCTCTCTCCCCCTAAGAAACAAAAGAGAATGTTCAAACTCATTGATACAATGATGGTTACTGGTTAAGTCATCATACAAGATTAAAGCAAGACAGAATTATATCACCATTCACTGCACTAAGGACACAAATGGAAGTCACCTGGAAATTCTCATACTGGCCATAAGAGAACAGTCAATTACTAGTTTGAGATGCACCCTGGTTCTCTGCTCTCACTACCATGCCATGTTTTAGACTGCACTACCAATCTCTGACTGAAATCTCTGTGCTTGAAGGTAAGCCTTTTGGTGAGCTGTTTTTTAACTGAATGTTGAATGCCTTTCCTCTAGTCACTGATCTCTGAAGACTTCTATTCCAGGTTTGTTAGGATGGAAGCTCTAAAAAAAATTGGAAAGAGAGCAGCATCTCCCAGCAGATCCCCTTAAAATTGCTGTCTAAAAAGGTAAACAATGACAAACAAAATGTGAACAAACACACAGTAAACATGAGAGCTCCTGTACTACCATGCAAAGGAGAAGACAAACTTGAAGAGCCTAAGATCAGAAGAACAAAGACCGTTCCCTTCCTTTTCTCCTCTTTAAAGAAAGGTCTCTCTCTAAACTAGCAGAAAAGCAACATGGATCACATTCTAGATTAAGTTAGAGAATGGTGCCACAGAGCCACACCATTATATGAAGAAACAGAAGTTTAAGCGTTTTGGCCTGGCTGCATTGCCTATGTGAAACATTAAGACTAATTCCTGAGCTGAGTACTACACCATGATAAACCAAAGCTGTCCAGCATTATCTCCTCAACCTCCTTTTCTTGGGCCATCTTCTGTAGTCTATTATCAGCAGTCTGCTTTCTGCTGTGTATTTACTACATTTGGATGCTTCAAATTCTTAACTTGTGGCTGGAAAAAAGTTTAGCCTTTAGCAAGGAAAATTTACAACATGGACGTCACTTGTAGGCTTCACACGCAGGAGACAAAGAAAGTTTCTGAAAGTGTGGGCATGACTTCTTCTCATCCTTCCATAGTTAAGAAAAGGAAAACAACAGGAGAAGAAAATTCAGAAACAAGACACCTGTAATTTACCTGTTCTAGAAGATTATTCTGGATTCTCAGAAGGTCAAAAATAGAAATTCAATTTCCTACATAAAAACAAATTCAAAAATGTTTTCACCCCTTCACCACTTCAAAAAAGACAAGATTTAGAATCTTTCAAATCAAAATGCTGTGGTGAAAAATTTGGGGCATCCCATTTGAATGTGTTCAAAATGTTTCTCATTTTAAAAAACCCCAGGGTTTTAATTTTAATTCCTACTTATATCATGTCATTCGTACCTGTGAAAGGATGTGAAAATAGTTCTATTCCTGAGTAAGAGAAATATTTTTAAGTCATTCTGGAAATCCCTTATATGGAATTTTATTCTATCATTCAGCAAATCAGGCCACCTGAAAAAAAATACACTCTGTGGAAACTGCTCCAGCAGTTACAGCCAGTGATTTCCAAAGAAATTGTAAGACTACTATCACAATGCATTTTCTCGATAATCCCAGATGACAATTGTTCTTTTCCAGTATTGCCTTTCTCTGAATAGACAGTTGGCTTGCCCCAGGCTGCCTCTCCAAAGGCAAATTCAGGCTGACCAATCTACTGTGAGAACTGGAACTACTCCAGTTAAGTACAGAGAGAAATCCTTGGCTGCTTCTTGGTTTGCAGGCTTCTCACCTGCAGTTAGGAGTAATATTCATGTCATAGGTGCAGTGTTGTGAACCTAGTTCTGTGCTTATGGTGCTAAGGAAATTATGCCTTATTCTTTGTGGGATTTTCGTTTGTTTCTAGACAGCAAAAGAGGAAGAAATACTCCCAGTGGATTGGGCTTTGGCTTATGCACATTATGTTGAAGTTTATGTCAGGAACAGCACACTGCAAAGGATTTGGAAATCACCAAAACACACTACAAAATTTAGATTTGTTATCCAGTCATAAGATATTCACTCATGCTAAGACGGGAAGGGATGGCCTTTTCTATAAGAACTATCAGCACAGAATCTGGTACAGTCTGTCACGAAAAATGAGTATATGAGTTAGCCATAAATATGCCACATAAAATGCTGTTGTGTGATTCTTTCTAATTGATTCTTTTTCTGCATTGGAAGTTATTACTAGCTATGGTGAGGTACAGATGCACACAGAATCAAGTCCGTTTATTTACATTCAGATACATGTTGCTTAAACACATTTTAGGTTAATGTTGATGAGCACTGAATGAATGAGTAAGTGTAGACAGGTTCAGGCACCAACCAACATCTTAACAGGAAGGAATAATGTTTACTTACAATCCCACCTTCCTCACCAGGATGGCCAGGAGATCCTCTGTAACCCGTACTTCCCTGAAAAACAGGAACTTGAGATAAGTAACACTGTTCTCCAAGCACACTGGGTTCATTTCTATCAGATTACCCTGCACATGGAGATAGAAAACATTTCCTGAAAATTAGATCTGGTTATGCTGAGGAGGGCAGGCTCCATCAACTGCATTTACACAGACACTCTGCACAGTCCCTATGTACTTGACATGGCTGTGAAAAAGAAATAAACAACAATGTTCAATATAAAAATTCAGTATGTTACTTCAGGAAACTGTCTGATGGGTTAACAACGCTCATTGGGATATTTGGTCAAATTAAACATCTTCCTTAGTGATTTGGAAAAAGAAGCATTATACAGTAATGAAATTCTAAGGTGAAATGAAAAATCTAAGAAGTTGAAAACTTGTTGGGACAAAGATATTGCAATACCTTACAAAGACTTTTAGGAATATTGCAACTTTGTATTTGAAGTGATGCAAACCTCATACCCTCAGGGCAAAAACTTGAACAGAGAGAAACTAGAACATAAGGAGTTTCTAGGAATGAAAATGAACAAAAATGAGACATGAATTTGTGCTGCAAAAACATGCTTGTACAATTGTAGGCTGTACAACCCAGGCATCATGTGTGTCTGCCTGCAAAAAAACTATGTCTACATTCTGAACACTGTTTTGTCTAAGCATGTTAATCTAGACATTTTAGTAAAACAGAAAGGTGTAAGAAAATCAACAAGAGTAATGGAAGAAATCAGTAAATTGGTTTATGAATAAATATTAGAAGACTATATTTTTGCTAAGAGATAACCAAAAATTCATTTAACTGCAACCACATAACTGAAGAGTGTGAACTACAGATATAATTTACTTAGCATGCTACCGGAAAAAGTAGAAATAATGGAATGAATAGTAGTGAAATGGAGACTACATATACTAAAACCCTTAATAATGAAGTCTACCGGCATGCTGTAAAAGTGGCGATATCTGTAATACTCAAAAGGCGTAAAACAGACAATATAAAATCTTAAAGGAAATAATGTAAATTAGTACTGTAGTGGATCAGAAGAAACTTATAGAAGAGGATATTTGGAATAACCAGAGGCACAAAAGGATAAGGCTCACACCTAGTGAAGAAGGATTATTTTCTACTCTCAGCTTGTCGGCTGGAAGTTTCTCATTCACAATAGCTAATAATCCTCTTGGTTATTCAGACTTAATTTTTTTAATCCCTCTCCACTTTCTGCTGAATGGGTGAAGGAGAGTGCTTAATGATTTTTATATGTACGAATGATTTTTATTACAAAAATACTTTTGCAATAGGAACATGCAGCAGAGAAATGATCACATTTCATGTTTCTCCTTCATCTGTCATAACAGCAAAGGTCATGGGCACACGCATGCATGCTCTGAAATACTACAAAAAATTAAAACACTTAGAAAAATAAAGCAATTCTTAAGTGTTGTCTATCTTAGCTCTCCTACCTTCCTTCCAGGACTTCCCTGGCCACCATGATCACCATTTTCTCCAAGGCATTTACAAACAACCTTACAGCATTTCCTTTCTGCAACAGTATCCTGAAAAATGACAAGAAACATTTCATTTATGTATATTAATCATAAAACAAAGACTGATTTTTTCCCCTTTTGTTTATATCACGGAAGGACTTACAAGATTTCTCTGCAAGATGTTTGCAATCTCTGCAAACCCAACACTCAGAGGTTCATTGTATTCAAACCCTCTGCCAAACTCTATTTCCCGAAGTTCCGTCAAGTTCTGTGTGTTGTCCAGGCCAACTAATAGAAATGCATCAAGACCTCCAACATAAGCATAGATTTAAATTAGTGAATGCCTGAATTGTATCATTTAACCAACAATATCATTGTGAATAACAGCAGTTCCCTAAGAGACTTACGTTTCATGGCTTCAACGCAGTATGTCAAAAGAAATCAAGCTATTGAGAACAATGTGTAAGAGAAAAATCCAGACCAGTAATTTTCCAATTAACTTCTCTCCCCAGTTGTCAGACCAGACTGCTACTCAGTGCCCAAACAGTAGTGTAAAACTGTTTTTTCCTGCAGAAGTCAGAGTTGGGTCTAACCTCTGGTGCTGTACTCATCAGTGAGAAGGGCTGCCCTGAATTGCCACAGCTGCTGGAGCTGGACTCCAGAAGCCAGAACCATCCCTGGCCCTCTGCACCCCTAGGAGTGTTTCTGGCATCATCTGCCAACCAGTGACAAGCCATCATGTACACTGGTTCATATGGAGAAACAAAGTCTCCCAGTGACTCCTGAGGAATGCCATATGAGCGTGGAGAGGTAAAGTTATGTGGAAAAGTTGCAGTGGGGGAGCAATACATTGGGGCCATTGGTAGTAGGAGGCTGGAGCATCAATGCAGTACTGTAATACCTTTAAAGCGAAGCGAGTCAGCTGCTTTTCTGAGATCTTCCAACGAATCATCCAGCCCATCTGAAAATACTAACAGAACCTGTCAGGACAGGGAGTAATGCCAAGTCAATTGAGAAGAGGCTAAAAGTTGAGTCATTGTAAAAAGTACAGTTTGCATTGAAAACTGGCTATGAGGTGGTCAAATTGCACAACACTGTGGTAGATTTGAAACGTGTGCTGGAAAAAGTGCTGAGGAGCAAGGAGAACAGAACACAAAAGCCTCTCTTCCCTGACAGCACTCCCATTTGAGGGATTTGTCTTGCTGACCAGTTCACAGCATTGCTATTAATTATATTATATCTGCCATCTTCTCAGTATGCTAGGTGGAAGGCCAATTCTGCTGTGATTTATCCACTGAAGAGCTTTGATGTCAGAAGAGTTCTCCTATATGTGAATGTGGAGAAGAACGTAGAGCAAACAAAAATTTCCCTTTCTGCAAGAGCAGCTCCAGTTGGCTGTCACCTGAGCCACACCAGGAAGTGAGTACACCCTCTCTGGGTCCAATCCTCCCTCCCTGCAGATGCTTATGTCCCCTTGTCCCACATAGGCAGTGCACCACCCTGCTCCACTCTCTGCCATATTTTTCCTTGTTAAGACATAAGGCTTAGCTCACATAAGGACACTAATCCTGACCCTTTGTATTGGTGACGTTCCCACCTTTTCAGGTCAAAAAGCTACAGTTAAGCCTCTTTCAGGGCTGAGGAAAGCACAGTTTCTTACAGTTCCCCTCCAAGTTATCAGTCTCTTCCCATTTCTCTCCTCACCTTCCCCCTTCAAACCAGCAGAAGTCTTCTCAGGCCCCACTCATCCAGTGGATTAGGTTTCCCAGAAAGAGGCTGCACAGGTAAATTGTCTCCTGCACCCAACGGTCATGACTAAGTCCTCCTAAACTCTCTGACCAACAAGTGGACAAGCACAGCTAGAGCTCCTTCCCTCCCATCCTTCTTATTTTACATTCCCTACACAATGCACAGCTTCAATCAATGCGAACTCTAGAGAATTACTTCTGTTAAGGCAAATTTTTCCACAGATGACAAAGGCAAATGAAGTGACTGCCACAGCAAACATCCCACTTCTGTGCTAAAGCAGCAAGGAGACCAGAATCTAAAAGCAGGCAGAGTTAACTCTGGTCATGGAAAGTTCCCAAACATCCAATACGGAGGCACTGGTACTGATTCTACATTTGCTCGAGCAGAGTGTGATACAGTAGAGAGCTGGACCATGGATGGGTAAACACATCACAGATTGTTAGAAACAACACTATAGGCCTGGGCCTGATGCTTTTTTTTTTTGTGATCTTTTCATTTTAAAAACATGGCGGGGGGGGGAATGTGGGGTGTTAGCGTGGGCATTATATATGTTTACAAAGCTTTCATTTACTTAAAGCTCTTGTTGGAACACATCTGAGTCTTGCTTTGTCAAAAATGCTGGAATTAGGTCCAACTCTTTTGCTGAAAAACAAACAAATAATAAAGAAAAGAAGAAACGCAAACAACAGAGAATCCCTATTCCTGATGAGGTTTATAATTAATAATCTTTACAGAACAAGCATGTTATTGCTCAGGATCCTAGGGAGATTAAATTGTGATTTCATGTGCATTCTAAAGTCTTGTACTTTCAATTTGCACATAAACAGTATCAGAAAGGAATATTAATCCACTGGTAAAGTGCTGAGATATGCAGCATATTTATTTCTAGTAATAATGCATAAGCAGAAACAAGCCTTGCTTAACTTTAATCTTCAACAGGGATCTAACAGAATTGGCAATTAGGAGGAAAAAAGCACTGCTTTTACTTGTATGTCAAACAACTTCTCTCTACTGAGTCCCAAAAGAAGCAAAATTGTATGTGGTCACATTCACTGTTCAGAACAAAATGACATTTTAAGAAATCTTTGGAAAAAAATAGTATTAAATATGCACCAAATTACAACCTAAACTGGTAAGCCATACCTATGCAAATGCTGTAAAAAACCAGAATGCCAACTTTCATCTGAAAGCAGGGGAATTCATAACAATATGGCTTTCTCACTCCACATCAGACTAAAAGTAACATCTCATAAAAGTTAAAATAAGGTTCATAGAGGAAACCCCTTATGTATTTTGCGAGAGCTAATCTGTCCTTCCTCAGAAGGAAGGTCTTCCCGCATGGAGACCTTAGTAAGTGATAATATTCAAGTAGCTACTACAGGACATGCTCAGTGCTTTACTGAGTCAGTGCCTTAAGAATAAACTGTCAGGGCAATGACTCTGAAACACTCCAATGAGATCTAACTTACTTTCACCTAAGTGGAAAGATTCCCCGTTCACTTCAGAGGATATTAGATCAAGCCTTATGCTTCTCCCTTCACCTCAGTTCAAGACAGATGAATTAACTGCAGCGCCTATGCAGATTTTCTTGAGCATCAATTATCCATGAGAAGAACTCAGCTTTGTTATTTGAAATTATTTGACAAGTTAACTACACAAATAAACTTCTGTAAACAAATTTCTTGGACGGTGTTTTCTGTGACTTCTGCTTAGAGCTGCCATTATTCTGGACAGAGATTCAGGATCAGGATTTAAAGTTTCTGAAAGAGAACTGTTTCCACTACTCAAAGTACAAGGATATTCCATGGTAGATGTAAGAAGGTTTTCTGTATGAATACTCATGATCATATGTATTAACCCAAATGTTCTGGGTACCATCTCACTGCAGGAGTGCTTAGGGAATCGGAACTGATATATGCAGTTATATCAGGCAAATGAAAGAACAGGAGGTTCTATATAAACATAAGGAAACACTTTTTTACCGTGAAGGTGACTGAGCACTGGCACAGGTTGCCTAGAGAGGTTGTGGAGTCTCCATTCTTGGAGATACTCAAAAGCCGTCTGGACACGGTCCTGGGCAGCCTGCTCTAGTTGACCCTCCTTGAGCAGGGGGGTTGGACAAGGCGACCTCCAGAGGTTCCTTCCAACCTCAACCATTCTGTGATTCTGTTTATTGGATTCACCAATTCCTGAACCACCTTTTTGTCTCCCTGGAGTACTCAGCATCAGAGTCTGTAAACATCAAACTGCATAATTTTTCCAAAATATATGTTCACACCATTAAGTTACCTTAACTTTAGCAGAGGTCACACTAAAGAACTTCTCCTCAAATGCCTGTAAGAAGTCTGCATTCAGGTAGGTGTCCACAGTGGTCTGTGCGTCTAAGAAATTCCGGATGATCTCTTCATTATAGTCTTCAAAATCAGAGTCAAAGATGAATTGTTTGGTCTGTGCCAATACTTGGAACTTGAATCTAATGTTGACTGGAGAGCCAGCATTACAGCTAGTATTTGGCAGCAATTTCATCTGGAGTAAAAGCTTGGGGAGGAATGCTTGCAATTTCTGTTTCAGAAGCACTGTGGATGCTGGCCGCATGCGCCTTGAAGTATCAATTGCTATAGAAAGATCTATGTCGCAATCTGAAAAAAGTAGAAGAAACAGGAAACGATAAACATACACTATTTGTGATCTTGTCTTTTGTCAGACTCATGGGAGTGGAAGAAAATTCAATATGGTACATTTAAAACCAGAAGTCAGAATCAGTGAGATAGGTTTTCCATAAATATAAAAAACCATCAGCCCACCAGTTTCAGTAGGGCTATGTGAACTTGCAGATACTAAGGACTACATTACTGGACATATGTACATACCCAAACTGCAAAACAGGTCACTGTTCTCCAGCTGTCAAATGTCCTCAAAGGGCACAATCTTGCAAATGTTTCCGTGAGCTTTGCTACCAACTGAGAATGTGCAACACATATTCCAATTGCAATGGGACGCTTTATGGCTGACTGTGCTTCATCACTTTGTCACAAGACCAGATGATACATACAAATGTAGAACAACAGGCCAAAGAAACAAACGTGAGAGAAAGAGGCAGCATTGCCTACATGCAATGTCATATATCCACTGTGAATAACAGCTGCTGTAAAGTGAGGACTACCTTAGTTATGGAATTGCTTGCACAGCTCCTGATAACAACAGCAAATACTGCTGTGTGGTTAATTCCTCCCCCCTCCCCAATTATCTTGCCCTCATCAAGCAGCTAAACCACTTGGCTTATTTCTTTCGTACCTTGATTCTTCATGTGTCATGCTGAATTTTATTCTGTGCCCCTAGATGCCCCTAGACTCTGAAACACTTATCAAACACAAGGTTGTTTTCCATGTTTGCTAGTTTGGGCTAGTTCCTATAGACCGTTATTTGATATAAGTTTCATTACAGTTTTCTGGGGTTTCCCTCACTTGTGAAAAAGATCAATGTGTTCAGCTCTTTAACCAAATAAATCCAGAAATAATTTCACCTCAGAGCAGCCATCATTATGTTTCAGTATTTTCACTTGTGGTGCAAACTGCCCCCTAGAGGGTATGATTTGCATGCAGCAAGAAAATCTTTAAATGTAAAAGGTCATGTTGAGTAAGTTTTCATGGCTAAAAAATCTGACATTCAGGCCTCAGAGCAACATAAGAAACCTATACAGCTTTTCTGTTTAGTCCACAAGAAAAAATTTCTCTTAAACAGTTAAATATACCTATACACACATATATGTCTACACACACACCCCTTAGTCATGCCCCTTAGCCAGGTTGTGAGGCTGCACATCTGATTTCAAGATTCACAGAACACTTGTGATGCAAAGGCCATCATCAGTTCAGGGAACAGCATTTTTCTAATTGTGAGGGATGTTTCTGATTAAGCATTTCCATGAACATAAAATTTATTGGATATTTCTTCCAGTATGTGTTCATGTCCAGTACACACACAGTATGTTTTCACAATGAGATTTTTCTAAGATCTGGGTCTTCTTAACCACATAATTTGGAGGGAGTGCAAAGGGCAACCATGGACTTGGCAGTTTAGCCCTGACAATTGGTCAGCCACACTGCCTAGCTCTTAAAACATACCCTGCCAACTCCCTAGCGTACCAGCAATAATACCAAAACAGCAGTAAAGCATTCACTTTTGTGCTACTGTGCTGTTCTTGAGAATGTGTAAAACAGCTTCTGGTAGGTACTCCATACTCTGTTGAGAATCTGTATTTATTTGCAGGAGTAAACACCTCTGTGTAGCTAACCTCTTTTCCTAATCACCTGTTCTCCCACACACATCCACATTTTCAAACTGCCCTGTCTTACTGCTGCAAAGGTATCTTTTTCCCCTGTTTTCTTTCTGTACCTTGAATGCATTTTTTTAAATTTGAAAAATCTGGCAGTTTAAGAGAAGGTGACTGGAGAAAGAGGAACTAATAGATTTATTACAGGAAAGAAGGTCAGCAAAAATAAGAAAACAGATGACAGGACAAGATAAAACAGGCTTCACAGGAAGTTGATCTTTGTTTTATAAGACAATTTTATGCAGAATTTAACAATAAAAACATGCATCAGTGAGATCAAAGCCAATATGCTTTCCTTAACTCCTCTCTCTAGACAAGCATGCCTGTATATACATCAAGTTTACTGCTGCACCTCCCATTAAATCTCCCTGTTCTCTAGCCATGAAACACCAGGAGGTGCTACTGCATCAGCCACGGTCACGCTGTTCCATGGCAGTGCACCCCCCCTCCACAGCAGCCCTCTCTCTCTCTGCTTTCAGGAGCCGGGGGATGCCTTTTCAGCTGGAGGTTTGCTCAGCTTTTGATGGGAAAAACAGGGAGTGAGGGTGCAGAGCTCATACTGAAACAGGCCCAGCTGTCCTCCTCTCTGAAAACCACCTGAGCAGATATAATTCACACAGAGAGTAGCTTCTGGCTTTAGGAGAGAAGGCTCAGCTCTTCATTTTGGCCCCCAGCAAACACCAGCCAGTTTTGCTGTGTTTAAGGTCTCAGGAGTCCAGGGTGCAGGAGAGGCAAAGTTACCTATTTGTTCAGCTGTTGTTACAAAAACTCTTAAGACAAGCAGTGTGGTCACCCCAGCGTTTCTTTCTCACAGGAAGTTTCTGGTCACTAAGGGAATGAAATCTGGAGAGCTGGGTAGGATCAGTTTTATGGCATAACAGAGAGAACAAAGAGCATGTATCCAACACATGTAAAACATCACCTATATGGTGAAAACACAGAGAAGACAACAAGGAGTTTTAAAGGACAGTCGCAGTCCCTGTAAGGATGGGCACAGAGAGAAGAACTTCTCCAGCACTGTCTCTTCCTGCTATCCCCAATCAATGCCATCCACTTACACCACAGTAGGTCCCCCTCACCTTCAGTGGCGGAAGAGCTCAGCTTTTTGATTTGTCATTCACTACATTCTTCTTTTGCAACTTAACAAACACATCTACAGTATTATCTTACTACATAACTGGCATGAATATGGAATTTTAAAGAGCAATTGTGTATGTTTTCTGCTTCAGTCTTCCCACCTGACAAGGTGACCGATACCGCTTGGTGCTCCAAGTCGGAATAAACTCAGATACAAAACCAGCATCTGACATCTGATAAAAGTTGCTACATTAATCAAAGGCAATACTGAACCTTTATTTTCTTCAGGGTTCGGAGCCTCTCAGGCTGTATTGGCATCCAAGCTACTGTTGCCACTACTACTACCAAGAAGATGTAGTAAGAGATACCACCTTCTGTTTCTTATATAGCAAAAGCTTTTGGGTAGCATCTCAGCATTACTGTGGATTTGCTGCTCACACCTTGCCAATACCTCCCACATATCCAAGGATGGATTTTCCCACACCCCTTCTCCATAGTGCCTCTGTGAGACTTAAGTTTTGTCAACAGTCGCTGCTGACAGTCCCACTGAAGCAGTATGGTCAGCTGTAGATGACAAAGCTAGGTTTTTGGAAGGCTCTTTTTTAAATATCACTGAATTGTCTGTTTCTCTCTTTTGATTAGGATACCTTGGGCATATCTGCTCTGGCTCCTTTCAGACACTGAGGAGCTATGAATACAAATGCTAGATGTGAAGCACTGTCTTACCTCAGAAGCTGTTTACCATAGCAAAGAGTGTAATGGTTCTTGACTGAAGCAAGGTGCAAGTCTAGAAAGTTGCAAGACTGAGTAACCTGAGCAGTACTCTTTGGTAAAACAGTTGCATTGCTGTCCAGCTAGCTCAGGTACTTTTATCAGGGACCGCATGTAGCCATGTGGATATTCGCCATTATACACCCAACAAAACATTTATGTTACTTACCCTGGCTACGAAGATCTTCAGATTCACAGACCTCATTGACAATACTCCTCTCGATGGTTTCCAGTGCATCAAAGTTTTCCACTGTGAACACTCCTTGCATCACCAGCTATTAAAAGCAGCTCAAAGGAGTTTATAATCCCTATGCCAACTGCAAAGACATGGATCCCATCGCTTCTCAAAACCATTGCTGCATCCTCCACCCTGTCAGCAGAGTACCTGCCTGTAATCACTACAAGGTTCTGTGAGACTCCTTGGCTCTTGCAGCCTCCATTGGCAGGCTGAAAAAGGCTCTGGACAAGCCTCAGCCATTTGCCAGTGAATATAGAGGGCTGCAATTGCTCGATTCTGTTATCTGTTCCTTTATCATGGTCAGTATAGAACTCATTAAGAGAAAATTCTTTCTGGGGCTCTTGGCTGTACTGGACTACTCCAACATGTACTTTGTCCCTAGAAGTAACAAAGCTGTCCACAACTTCCAACATGAAGGTGTCATGACAGAAAAGTTACTTTTTGATATGCTTTCTGATCCATCTATCAGGAATACCAGATCTGCCACTTGACTGCTGCAAACTTAGGGAAAAAGCAGAGGGGAAAACAAACAAACCCACCCACCCACCCAATTAGTGACAATTAGTGAGGAACATAACCTTGGCAGTGTTTAATCTTTTTCTTGTTCTCTGCAGTGTAAACCTTTAGTCACAGAAGCTGTTCACAGCAAGGCCATGCAAGGCCAACCCGTCATCTATCCCACTTCAACGCAGAGACTTTCCATGCATAGATAAAATCCATCCTTTTCCACTATTAACTTGCAGAAGAAACCACAGATCTTTATGTATCACCAGCTGAGAGAGTCGTAACAACACAGAGCTTGTAACCAAAGACAACCCTCAGCTGAGGGAGGACAGACTTTATCTACCAGTAAGTCAGATTAACTGCCCCACTCACCACACTCAACCTCTTGCTACCTGAAGGGCCACTGTGAGGAAGAAAAATACTTGAACTGCATGACTGCTGTGGAGAAAGACAGCATGTTGGTACCCCTGAAGTGGAAGGAATTCCTGCCTGTCATTTTCATTGCAGAAGCAGAGTTCCCTAACCTTTTTATTGGCAGTGCATCATAGCTTTGTGCAGAGTAATCTTTCTTGACCTTCAGCAATCTCTTCCAGTTCTGCTCTGCTTGCTTTGTTCACTCCAACAGCAGTTAAGTTGATTTCACCTCCCTTCAAAGCTTTTATGGCCATGGGAAGGTTGGCTCTATCCAATGGTGCTGTTGGTTCATCAGAAATAGGGATCCTGGTGACAGCAAGGAAAGATGCACACCCACCCTAGTTCACACCAAATCTCTACCTGGCAAAGCTCAAAGCTCTTGCTGTGAAGGGCTGACCTGGCAGAGGCTTCAAGTTGAGTACTGCTTCTCTACTCTGAGACCCAGAGGAGAGTTGAAACTTGAAATTTATACACACCAATCACTGAGTCATTAACTACTGCTTCTATGAGGCACTGCACATTTTTGAACTGCAGGTCTGTAACACCAGATGATCCATGCACTACATAGGGGCTATTGGACCCCTAACCCCTAAGCCTGGCCCTAACTCCTAACTCCAACCCCTGACTGTGACCCCCAACCCCTGACCCCAACCCCTGAGCTTGACCCCTGACAGTGACCTCTGACGCCTGAGCCTGACCCCAGACCTGGTTCTAAGCAGGTCAGCTCTTATCTTGATGATATTTGGGTCAATCACCGCCAGAACTTCATAAACCTCACTAAAACCTTTCTGAATGTTCATCTCCTCTTGCATTAAGTGCAGATGGTGCACATACCAACAGCAAGCCTGGCAGCTCTGAAACGACAATTATCTATGTACTTCTTACCTTTTTTCATACTTCGCAACTGTAATGGGACTACAAACTTTTTTTCACAATCTCATTACAAAGCTGTTTCTTTATTTTCCATCCAATATTTGACAGCTGTAGAAAAAAATTCAGGGTGCTGACATGTTTCCTTAGGGGATAAGTTGCAATTTTATCAAGATTGCTACTCTCTGGTATTCTGGATGCCCACAGCATAGACAGTAATACCTTTATGTCTTAGTTTAGATGCTGCTTCAGTGTAATCATCCAAGGACTGGCCATTGGTGATAACCACAGCAATTTGATGCGCTCCTTGTTTTTTCCTGCTGCCTGCTTCTTGAGTAAAAACCTTCTTCCTCAGGAATTCAATGGCATTTTACATGAGGAAAAAAATTTCTTTACTGAAAGAGTGGTTAAACATTGGAACAGGCTGCCCAGGGAAGTGGTTGAGTCACCATCCCTGGAAGTATTTAAAAGACCTGTAGATGAGGTGCTTAGGGACATGGTTTAGTGGGCATGGTGGTGTCGGGTTGACGGTTTGACTCAATGATCCTAGAGGTCTTTTCCAACCTTAACGATTTTATGGTTCTATAGCTGCTCCAGTGTATGTTTGCCCTCCTTGATATGGTAAGTTCTTCAAGCAGTTCAGGATTTCCAATTTATCCTTGAATGTGTCCAGGGTGAACTCTAGCCTCGGTTCATTACTGTACAGCACTAGCCCAACTCTTACATTACTCGGACCAATATCTAGAGCATTAACAATTTTTAACAGAAAGGCCCTTATCAGCTGGAAGTTTTTTGACCTAATTTTGCTGGATTCATCCACAAGAAACAACATCTGCAACAGTTGCACTGGAACGCACTAACAAAAGGAAGATAAGATTAATGTAGGTCACACCATGGGATAATTGGTGGGACAATCAGAATAGGTTGTTACAAAAAGGATCATCTCAAGGTAATATGCAAGATGGTGCTACAATAAAACATGAAATCTAAATCCCTATCAGTGCTGAAGAGCAGATATTTATATATTGATTTTCACAGTAAAAGAAATCCGTGAAATAAACACCATACCTTAACCAGCCCCTTACCCACACTACACGAAAGTCTGCAAGACAAATGCTTTTCTCACTCTCCTGCAGAGTGACTGCTAATCAGGACACCCAAGGATATTAGGGAAGTTATTCTGTGGTTAAATACAAACTCTCCTATGGCAATTTTCTACAAACAAAATTTAAGCAAAATTGTCCTGTCAGTCAAACAGGCAATTCCACTGCAGCCAACCCCTCTAAACCACTGCCCTGTTCCCCTTAGTTAATACAGGTAATTACAACAAACTGTGCATAGGCAAGTATTGTCACCACCCTGACAAAGGTGGTAAATATTTTGTCAATATAGCACCCCTGTAAAAGCAGAACTGCCAGCCATTTGCACTCTGTTCTTCCCTCACAGCCACCTGAGAAGTTGCTCTGGATTATTAGAGAGTTAGAAGCTACTTGGGCTGCTGTTTTCACTCTGGTGATACACTATACCTGCTGGCCCACTTGATCGGATCAAGGTTATAAAGCTTCTGAAGTGAGGCTTCCATATCACTGACAATATTTTGCTGGAGAAGGTCAATGCTCTCCCCTTCGTAAGTCTGGGAAGTCATGCCAGAGGATGCTCTCACCTTTTCTTCTTCCTCAAAGTATCCAGCATCAGCTGAGACAACTTTTACCCCCACCTCTTCTAACATCCAGGCTGCCTCCATGATATTGTCTCTGGATCCAGAGGGTGTGATGACCACTACAGCCTGCGGAGTGCCTTTGCTGAGCCGGCTTCCAGCACCATCCATGAAAAAGGTTTCCTGCAAGAACTCCATGGCACTTCCAGCCTTTGATGAGCCTCCAGTGAATGCAATGCTCTGCTGAATGTGGTCAAGCACCTCTTCTTTATTTTCATGTGTGTTCAGTAAAAACTCCACCTGTCCTATGCCACTAAACTAGGCTAGGCCAATCCTATACTTGTTAAGCCCACCATCTAGCTGTCTGACTATTTGGGAGATGAAATGTTTTACTTTCCCAAAGGTTGAAGGCCTCATGTTCTCAGTGGAGTCAGTAAGGAAAATGACATCAGCATATTGTTTTGCAAATGCTGCATAGAGGGGGAAAAAAGTGACAGATGAGTTGCCAAAAGTAATACTGTCAACCTATACCCAGGCCTGGCTTTGAATGTAAGCTAAATGACAATTACAACCTTTTCATCAATCTCCACAGTCTTAAGTTTAGACTGAAGTTTTAAGTCTACAGCATACCATTAAGCATGCTATATAATCGCTGTAATTCTGTATTTTGACAAATTAAACAAAGAATTCTAGTGAAACTAGCTCTGCAAAAAAAGTCCTAAGAAAAATGTCTTGAGAAACTCTACATCTGACAGTATTTATGCAGACAAAAGTTTCATCTTCCTCCCACTGAAACTTCAGTGAGATTGCATGCTTTACCATTCCATTCCCCTGATACTCCATTAACCAAGGTCTTCTACATCGCTACTGGAATCTAGATTGCATCTAAGAACTGGACCTATGTGAGCACTTCAGAATACATTTACCTTCATAACAACCCCATGAGGAGTTGCTCCAAAGGGCAGACAGTCCCTCTGAATATCAGAGAACATGAACAAATTAATTCTACTTCACTTACAGTCAATGAAAACAGATATGCATATCCGGAGGGCACATCAGATGCAAGACAAATGAAACTGGACCTAAACACATCCTTCAGTGTAACAGTTTCTGATGGAGAAGGGGATTAAAGCCAAGTGGCCAACTACGAGCATAGTCTCTAACACCTAAACTTTTCTCATCATTGAGAAAAACTAGTTGAAGTATCCACACTGACCTCTGCAAAACCAGGAAAAAAGTTTCCTTTTTAAATTGTAACTATGTTACATTTTAAATATTTATCATTGTTTTAAACCCCAATTTTTTGTTTTGATTTTACTTTTGCTACCATGCCTCTTTTATATCCCTCCCCCTTTCACCATTCAACAATAACAGTCCTTGAAGAAACAGGGAAAATACATTTTCTGTGAATTTTGCTGTTCAGCAAATGTACCAAAAAGATGGGAAAAAATGGTTTCCCTTCATTTTTGTCACTCCTAGAATGTTCAATTTCTGAACTTGGTTTTTGGAGGAATTAAGAGAGTTACCAAAAGCAGAGCTTAATCAAGAAATAATTTTCTGTTAAACTGTTCAATGGCATCAAAACAAAACGTTTGCTACAAAAGGCTCCACGAGCTCTAATCAGATGAAATTGAGTATGCTTCATAGAATCTGTGAATCTGATCCTGATTTTCTTTGCAATACATTAAGGCTCAGCTTACAGAGAGCACGGAGCATAAGCTTACCTTCCTATTTTAACAGTTAAACCTCACTGACTTCAACACAGACACTGAAATGTGTTAAAAAGAACAAGGACATCATCCTGAACTGCAACCTAACTCAAAATTGGCCCCATTGTTTTCAATCACATTACATGACAGTAACACTGATGTAAACAACATCAAAACCAGGACCACTTTTCTACACCCTATTTTCACAGTTACACAGTATGAGCAGCTGAAATGGCACAAGTATAAGGACAACTTCTTACCTTCGATCTGACTTTCAATTGCAAAGCAGAAGTTTCCCAAAAGTCTTGTGGAGAGATCTTGAAGGTCATCAAAACTACCAGTGCTATACCGATATTTACCAAAAGGTTTGCCGGCTATTTGCTGAAGCTCAGCTGTATTCTGGACACAAATTCCAACAACATAGAGAGATGCCTCTGTTCCTCAGTTTTCTGGCAGGCAATTCAACTTCATCACTGGATTCTCCGCCAGTGATTAGAATGGCTACCTGCGGGACATAGCCCTTAGCTCCACCACCAGCAGGTTCAGTGAAATACGCTCTGCTAACAAAATCCAGAGCTCTCCCTGTGTAAGTTTCTCCACTCCTATACAGCAAATTCTCAATCTGCTCCAAAACATCACTTTTCAATAAATACTGATTCAGCAAGAATCCTTGGTAAGTCTCATCACTGTATTGTGCCAGCCCAACTCGAATCGCATCAAGGCCAACATCAAGACTTGAAACCAAGGTGGAGAGGAAGTTCTTCACCTTCTGAAAGTTTTCCTGGCCAATACTTGTTGAAGTATCCACTAAAAAGACAACATCTGCCAATGTGGCTTTTCTGCAAGCTGCCCAAGGAAGATCACACAGAAGAATGAACTACTATAGCTTCTTCTCCAGCTTTATTCATGAGCAAGGAAGAACTGACTGTACATTTTATCATTCATGAAATAAATTGCAACTGTGTTGCGTGTTTCTGCCTTCTCCTTCCTCCCTTCACCTTCCCCCCTCCCACCATTATTTTGAATATTTTAAAGGTAGACAGGTACTCAAAATTTATCATAGTTATGAGTTGATATTATTGAAAGCTAGTTAGCAATATACAGAAGACGCAAGAAGTTAAAACCTGTATTTTGGCAACACAGTGTAATTCCATGTACTTCATCTATGCATAGAAAAAAAAATAAAGCTGGGAAGAAAACATCTCTTTCAGGACATACCATGGGCAACCTGGGTGGCTGGTCCAGTTATCTCCTCTAGCATAGTACAAAACATCTGTAGAATACTGTAAGAGAGTCCCTGCAGAGAAGCAAAATCTTCCACTTCACAGACATGCTTATCAGCTGGCTCACTATTTCTTGAAGCTCAGACAAAGCAGAACCTTTAACACCTATGGCATACAACATGATGCCAGCATCCTTGATTGCTGTAGCTGGGTTTTGAACATAAACTTCAGCCTGTCCATTTGTTATCACCACAGCGATGTGAGGAACGCCTTCTTCCTTTTGGCTACCAGCACTTGCTACGAAGTGATTCTCTAGCATAAACTGGAGGCTCTGCCCCGTCTTGGTGCCTCCTCCTTTGTAACATAATTTCTGTATCTTCTGTAAGATACTGTTTTTGTTATAGTAAGTGTTCAACAAGAATTCAGTGTATGGCACATCACTGTATTGAATCATACCAACACAGATTTTGTCTAGCCCAATATCAAAGCCATTGACCATTGTGTACAACAAGTCTTGCATGATCTTGAAGTTCTTTGTCCCTATACTCCAGGATCCATCTACCAGGAAGATGATGTCCGTCATAAAAGCTTTCCTGCAGACTGAAGAAATATTTTGTAACTTTCCTGTTTTCCTACGGGATGTGTAATCTAGAGGATGTGTAATCTAATAGAAGAGTAATTTTGCCTCCTTATTGCTTTTCAGAATCTAAGACCTATTGGCCTTTTGCAGAAAAATCCTACCATCTATCCTGGTAAATTCCCAGCACCCATGAGTTCCTTCTTTTCCCCTGTTCATCATACAGAGGGTCAGAGGCTACATCCTTCTGTAACACCATTCTTAGGCAAAGGAGAGGTGCTGAAATTCACACTGACACAATTTCCATACACAGCCTGCTCAGAACTCATACGTAGTAAATGCGTATGGTAATTGCTGTACACACACCTGTATGTGAACCACAATCATAAGAATGCGTTGACCTGCTCTCAAGTGAGCCCAAAGGAAAAGTTACTTATGCACTTTGAGCTCCATTCTGCAAGCATACATTACTAAATATTTATTATCTGAGGGAAAAAAAAAATTCACACCAACTTCAACGGGACTAACCACATTTACTTGTAGTAAATACTAAACTCATGTGTTTCCACACCTTTCAGAAGTGTATGACACTAGTAGGGCATGGATGAAACAGTTATTATTTCCCTAAACCAACAGTCATGCAGAGAATGTTCTGCAACTGGACAGAACACTTTCTCCAGCAGATCTTCCAGAGCTGACTACAAAAATAAAAATGCTAAATCCTGTGACTTATCTTGCTCTTGGCGGTCTTACAATCCTAAGAGTTTTTCATTGCTTTTGAAAATACAGAACCTCAGCACGCATGAACAAAAACAAATTTTAATGAACTGTTGCATTTAATTTTGCATATTTTAGGACAACTCTCCTACCTTAGTTTAAATATATGTTTCATAAAAACATACTATGTTATCCCTAGTTATACAAAGAATAAATTGTCACTAATTCTTATTCTCTCTCTGGCATTGGGTATAAATGGAAAAAATTAATTTTGCTATCAACTTGAAGGAGAGTAATTTCTTTAGTGTATTACCAGTCTGTTGTGCATCTGTAGAGCAGAAGGTGGAAACAAAGAGAAGAACAAGAAGTGGTTTCCAGTCATCCATTTTGAAAACCTCCCTAGAAAAAACAAACAAAGACAGTAAGAAATACAGAGCACAATTTCCTCAGAAAGAGATTTTTAATTGTGGGGGAAATTTTATTAACAACATGGAGGCTTTCTAGCTGCATGCAATTTAAAGCAGCACTTTAAAATCATATTTTCTTCCCTCAGCTTTTAACATACAGGCCTTGAACACAGAGCTGTTAGAGTTTGACACTGATTTACAGCATATAACCAAAATGAACTCTTCACCGCCCTGCTCTCACACAATCATGCTTTGTTCTGATTCACAGATATATTTACCATGATCCAAAATTCAACTAAAAGCAAGTTATTCACAATGTCAGATTAATGGGAGTTATGCTTCTAAGATTCCCCTCTAGCCTTGAAATTCCCCACCCACACATCTATTTAAAAAAAAAATTGGGTGGTGGTATCTATATACAATAGACATAGATAAGAACAAACATTCATTTACAAATGAAATATGCCAGTTGGCCAGTAATGAAGACACTTGCCATATAAAAGTACCACAACTCAATGCTATGGGAAACAGGAATGGAAATCTCTCAGCAAGAAAGTACAAAATTAAGCCACATTGAGCTTAAGCACACTAAACAAGTGAAAACAAGAGAGTTTTAAAAAACTTTCAATTCTAGAACACATGTACGCTAAATAGCTTAAAGAATAAAAAGAAATAATAAGCCAGAGCCTTGGAGGCCAAGCATGCAAAAAAGGATGAATATGAAAACATTTCATGTGTTGTTCTTCTTTGGAGCTGCTGAAGTTCTCTTTCTTTTCTGACTAGTTCCAGCTGCTCTCCTCCTAGTTCCACCCTCACATTCTGTCCCAGATCAAAACTGAGAAAAGATTTTTGGTAAAACTTATGAATATAAAGGCCAAATGCTTCTGCATGGTGACATGAGTAGCAGAGAACCAGGTTGGCTAGGTACACCCAGCAGGGAGGATGAGAAAATCAGGTACAGTGCGCATTTATTCTGCGACCTTTGGTTATTCAAGTATTTAAAACAGATGAGTAAAAGATGCCACCGCTGCATTTCAGCCAGCCAAAGTCACTCCTCTCACCAGCCCTTTGTTGCTGGTCCTCTGTCAACTGAGAGCACATCTCTTCCCATTCTAGGGGAAAGAATAGCTTGACAGAGATGCTGTCCATGTGGTACTTCTTTCCCATGGATGTGCATGTCAGAGGTAATGCTGTTCAACACTGTATGTAGTCTCTTCCTCAGGCCTCCAAAACACAACTGTTGGCAGCAAGGATTCTGTGGAAATTAGCTGAGGAGAAGGACTGAGGAATGAGTCACTGAGGAGGGTGAGGTAAAATTCAGCAGCCTGACATAACTCAGATATTACGCTCAAATGCTCAGTGACTAAAAAAGACATCCCCCTGGGGCTACCCTAAGAATCTCATACTTAAGATACAGCCTATGTTAGAGGTATATTGCTCTGGAAGATGCATGGCTATTGACTTATGCGCTACCACCTGTTTATTACCAAAATTTTATACAAAGCACTGTTGAGCTATCAGTAATATAAAATAAGCCAAACACTGTTCTGTCTCAGGCTATCTTTTGAACCTGTTGGTTGATCCTGGCAGATGCTCAGATCAGAAGAAAGAGACAGCTTGAGCTACTTATATTCCAGGCTTGGGTTTGACACAGAGTGCAACCTCAGCAAACTCAGGATACTGGCTTGGTTTTTTTTCTTTGTTTCTTTGTTTTTTAAAGGTTTCAGGGCTTCTGGAATTCTGATGAGAACAATGAATCTAGAATTTCATTTTGGAGCTGATTTACACACAAATTTCCCCAACATCTGTGTCTCTGCCATTGCTTAACATCTAATAATTACGTTGGCATGAATACTGCCTAAACTTAGAAGTAACAGAGAGGGAAATGTATGTGAAGACACACACAAGCAATCAGACAGCAGGCAAAAAACAAGCTAGTTTATCCTCCCAGCAACTGGAGGGCTTCCTAGGCATGCTTCTTGGAACCCAGGAGCATCCTTCTCAGAATCAACCAGTCTCAGACACAGGTCAATTCCTCCTGTGGAAGGATGTGGAACTGAATCTGTACAGAGGGAGAGGATATCCAAGCAATGGCTACAGCATAACAGGTTAATCCACACATTAGTCTTTTCAGTATCTTCAAGGTATGTGCTGGGGGCAGGGTATATCTACCTATACATGCAGATTGCTCCTCTTTATTTCCATCATTTTTGTTTGATAAACTTCCCTTTGCCACTAGTCACCAAAAAAGTCCTCGTGATCAGAACAAAGGTCCATCTTGCCCAATCCTTTATCTTTGACAATGGCCATTAGCTTAAGGAAAGAGCATAAAAGGAAAATTAAGGAATGTAGGTATTTTCTCCCTTCCACACAGACTGGCTTAAAGGTTTCCAGGTTGCATTTGGGTGAAGATCATACTTCCATAAATTCTTCTAATCTTTTTTGAAACCAGCTATACTTTTATATTAAAATCACAAACCAATTAGATTATCATATTGTAAACATCATTTATATTCTACTGAAAAAGCAAGACAAGTACCTGTGAAAATACAAGTTGATGATCAAATGCTGCTGTTAACAATACATTACACTGATTTTTAAACTATATCTTGGATCTGTAACGACAATTTAGTGGAAACACTACAGCTGGTCTAACATCATGGCACAGGGCTCTGTTCCAAGTTCTTAGGGTAACAGTATGTAATATTACCCTAGGTCTTGTAAATAACAAAAAGCAATGAATAGAAATCATCTGCTTGACTCTATATTCTACCCTCAGGCAATAGCAAAACTTTGTTTCCAAGTATCAACACACCAAGCTCCACTGTAGCTCTTGAAGGGTTCTTTGGAATCTTCTCTTGTGGGGAGAAAAAAAGCCACATTTCCTATATTTCAAGACATTTATCACATATGGGCACTCTCTACTATTATTAGTACTGCAGTAACACAGAGATTCCAGATGTAATCAAGGTCCCTGTGCAACAAAAGGGGTTCCAGATACCAACTGGTCCTTAAAAAGAACGGAAGGCAATGCTGGGGTTTGTGCATTGTGGAAACCTTCTTCATGCCTCTGCACATCGCAGTTTTCTTTAATAAGCACTTCTAACATAAGAGAAACTGTGGTATGTCATATATGAAACCACAGCAAATCAAAATGTTTTGCAATCACCTTATATACCATTTTCAAAATTAAACTTTGTCTTGGATTTAATTAATTTTTCTGTATGTATTCCTGATAGTTACTGAACCTCTTAAGAGTTCTCCTTGATCACTTTGACAGACATTTGATTCCCAGTTATTTGTTTTCACTACTATGCCTCATGACACCTGCCTTTTTTTTAGACGTTAATAAGCAAAAAGTTTAAACTGAGACACAATTAAATATTTTAATGGTATCCAAAATAAAAATAATCATGATTACTAACTTTCATTACCGTATTATGCAGTGCCTACTTTGATAGCACAGTTATTGTGCCAGAGGAGCAGTAAGCATCTTGAACTATCTGGTTTTAATAAATTGCACATAGATCTATAGACACAGCTAGAAATGTACATATTCAAGGGCAGGTACGTAAATGCTGCCAGTATTTCCAAAGCCTCTAGTTATAGTGGTGGAGATTTTTAGAGAAAAACACTGAGTTTGTGAAAAACCTCAAGGGCACCCATATCGCCATGCTTTGAAGGTGTATGTGGTGAGCAAAATACAGTTGCTGTTTTAGCAAGGGGCTAGAGTTTCCTCAGTAATGTAAACATTCAAATTCTGTACCAAAGTCTAGCTCTTACTGTTATACCATACATAATAATCAGTGACTGTTGAGCTATGCAACTATTTCCATACCTCCTAACAGCTGTAGTCTCTCTTTGCCTCCTTCAGCTTCCTCCAACCTCATGACTCAAGAATGTTTGCTGCTCATAGGGTCAGATACCCCACACCTGCAAAATCTCTCCCACTCTTCCTAAACAGTGAGTGCAGATGGGAACCTATTTCCCATTTGCTGTTTATTTTTCCCTTCACTAGCCTCTATTGACATCAGGCAGCTTCTTTAAATACACAGGGACACTGCAATTTTAAAACATGTGCAGACTAGTTTCCCTACTTGTACCATTTATTATACCTTATCTTCACATAGGAAATTCCAATCATGCACTACAAACTGCATAAACAGAGGTACTTTATGCCTTCTACGTGTATTCTTCATTATTTGCTAAAGTAAAATGAAGAAGTAATTTAATGGAAAACTCATGTCATACAGCTCATAGATACTATGGATCAAAGCCTAAATAACCCACTAGAAACATGCAGTGTCACAGAGAATTACCAATTCTGCATATTAAGCTAGCAATATGTTAATTCCAAAATGTATTTGAACATAAAACAGTATATACAAGGTCCTAGCATAAGCTACTTAAATATTCATATCTGTAGTTGTTTATATAAATATATAGGCATCATCTAAGATGCTAAGACAGCAATTCTCAAAAATCTAAGACTTCTTTCTATTTTAATGCTATTTTAGGAGACAACAGTATGAAAATTATTAAAAGCTCTTAGAAAACAGTATAAAAGAATACATATTTTAAAGCTTATTTTACTGCCATCATTTTTCCTTATTTGTTCCCAGAGACCCACCAATATGTATGCAATAAATCTCAAAGGAAGAAAAAGATCAACAGTACTCCTGAATTCTTTAAATGCTTCACAAAGATTGCTTGCAACTATATTTTGTTTTTTCTTTTTTAATCAACTAATGTCCCAATTTTATCTTCATTTGCTTCAATGTTTTACTCAGGTAAAATAAAGTCATTCTGTAATGTTTGCTGCCAGAGCAAAACGCACAGTCAAATGTTAATACACTTCTTAAGCACACTATCAAAAGCATGGAGATTTTGAAGCAACATCTGTTTTTCACCTATAATTTATAACCACATCGCATGCAGGATCTCCCTACACACCCTGGTTTGGGGACATTTTCCCTCTT